CTCATGAGAGGCTAAGGCACATCAACATCCACAGCCAGTACACAAGCGCCACCAAGGAAATACATCGACGCGCCCATGTGATCAAACCCACCGAGTCACGTTACAATCAACCCCTGATTTGTGACTGACCCAGCACTCAAATCTTGCAACTCTTCTCCTACTTACAACTGTCCGTGCTGCTCTCCCAACCTTGCTCAGGACATGGCACACTACTAGTCCAAAGATTCTCAACTACTGTCTTGATTGTAGAGCAGAGAGTCTCTTATCTCAACTGTTGCTTGTTCAAGTTTGTACTTATGATTTGTTGCTCAGGTCATTCTGACAAGACACATCAATATACGGAACCTCCTCAAAGCGCATTTTGATGACCAGCTTTAGCCACAAGTTTTTGGTACTGAGCGGGAGCTGGCAATGTATATGCAGGAGAACAAGTTGTTTTTTCCAAAGCGTGTCACTAAGAAGTTTGTGGGGTGTTTAGATGGCTTTGAGACACGTGAGACAGAGACCGGGGATGGATGTTGATTGTGAGTGAGAGGTTTAGATGTGTACACAGTGTTGTGTGGAGGATGGAGTTACAGGGAAGACCTGAGTATGTACATGTAATCTTTTGAGCTATCTATGCAGTACAAATACTTTTGTATCATGGTTTACCTGCATTGTGCTATGTGTCTGTTCAAAATATTAGAGGCAGCAGCCGGTTTGAGCAAGATGTTGACCACGGCAAACGTAGTGAGCTTGCTTGACCTACTCAGCGCTGTGCTTGTCCATTTGCACTGTACTTGTCATCTTGTACTAAGTGGTGTGTCATCAGTGTTTTGTTTTACAAGCAAGCATCTTGGAGTAAAGAAGGCAAAGGGAAAAAGAAAGGGGAAAATGCAAGTGCATATCTATGGTTGTACAGTAAGGAGTTGGAAGGACTCATCTCGGCAAAAAGCAAACCGCGCAATTTCTTAACCTTTGGGTGACGAAAGTGGGATTCGAACCCACGCCCCGAAAGACTAGATTGTTAACCACCTGATTCTAGCGCCTTAGACCACTCGGCCATTTCGCCTTGAAATGAACTGCAGTTACTTAGTAATCACAAATTATGAGTTTGAACCTTTATGCTTCTCCCACACTGGTGTCAACGTGGAATCCTGCCTTGACACCTCTCAAATCCGCTTCAAAATTTCCTCGTCAGATGCCAGCAGTTGGGTAACTCTTGCCTTCACCTCTGACAAGTCCAGTACTGACGGCGGAATCACTAGGCACTTTGGTCCGAGAATAACCTGACTTGTGTTGTCCTTCTCATCACCTGGAGGCTTGAGGTTGAGCCAACGGGAAAGAGCGTCAGGACCATCACTGAGGCGCCCCGGACGGTGTTCAATGATCAAGTTGAACCAGTTAAGGTAGAGGCTCCATTGTGCCTGGCGTCGGTTCAGGTCCTAGGTAGTCATGAACCATTCCAAATTCCTGTGGTCCGACACCACCTGAATCCTGTGAGGGTTTCCTTCCAAGTACGGCTGCCACTCTTTAAAAGTCCTCACCACCGCCAGCAGTTCCTTGTCGTAGATGTTGTAGTTGCGCTCTGCCACTGACATTGCCTTTGAAAAGTAAGCCACCGGCCTCCACTCCCTGTCTTTGCACTCCTGCAACAGCACCGCGCCCATTGCATAGCTGGAGGCATCTGTCTCCACTTGAAATGGCGCCCTCATATCAGGCGTGACCAACAATGGAGCCTTGATGAATGTTGCCTTCAACATCTGAAATGTGTTCTCTTCCTCTAATCCCCACAAACACGGCACATTCTTCCCTTTCAGGCGCTCCAGCGGCTTTGATATACACGTAGGCTTCAATGAATCTGTGGTAGAAGTTGGCAAACCCTAAGAACTGGAAAACTATGCTGACATTACGAAGTATTGACCAGTCCGTAATCCCGCGCACTTTCACCGGATCCATCCCAATGTACCCAGGCAAGATCTTCAGGCCATGGCAGTTGACTTCCTTTGTCTGGAACTCACATTTTGCCAGGTTCAGGAAAAGGTCTGCCTCGCAAAGGCGTCTCAGCACCTCTGAAACCTGTGCGTCATGTTGCAACTTGTCCTCCAAGAAGATGATGATATCATCCAGGTACAGCACCACGGAGATGTCAACCAGGTCGTGGAACAGCTCATTGACTATGTATTGAAATGCTGCCGGCGCATTCTTCAGCCCAAACTGCATGACCAGGAATTCAAACTGCCCTGCCAACGTCCGGATTACAAGATCGCTCTCAATCTCTTAGATCTGTCGAGTCCTAGCTCCAGATCGCACCGTTCTTCACGCACGTCAGCACAAGGGGGTTGAGCGCCAACCCTTTGGCTTACAGAACAGCATTGTGCGCGCCAGTTCCTCCTGGGTCAACAGTGGGGGTAGGCCAGCCGCTGCTGCTGCCATCATTGCCCAACAATGCTCCCTTGCCTCAAACTCCAACTGACCCTTTTTTGGCGGGCATTTAGGTTGTTCCGTTGCTGGAGAGATGGTTGGAGGGGGTTTGGGGTAGGGTCAACGGCACCATGTCCAACAGGATGCCAACTCAAAAGCAATTGTAAACTGCTGCCAGTCAATAGTGGGGTTGTGACATCAAAGCCAGTCAATGCCCAGGATGAAGCGCGAGTTGGCCAGTGAGATGTTTGCACCGGAATCTGACATGGCTTGGGTGGATAGTTGTACTGCGGTACTCTTGTTATTGACAGTAACCAGAATTTCAAATGAATGAAAGTCAGAGTGTGGGGTCCTTGCATGGACCACCGCACAATGTAAGTGTTGTTGACGCCAACATACCCAAGAGGGGGGAGGACTGATATTATTTGAAGCCAATGTGCCTGATACAGAGTACCAATTTGCCGCCCCTGGTGCAGTTACTCAGGTCTGGCGCGTACAAAATCCGACTGAACCAATCCAGGGGTCTGCGCCGGCGGCAATGAGGGGGGAGTTGACAAGCTAGCCGGACTGGTTGCTGTCAGAGTTGATAACACTGCCTGGGACGGTGCGTGAACCAGGCGTTGCGCCACCAGATGCGCGTACGCCTGTCGGGCCCGTGCCTTTGTGTACCCACACCGCAGATGGCCCTGATGCCCACAGTCTCCGCATTGCATCCTAGCCTTGTCCACCTCCATTGCGTTCGGGTCCAGGGTACGTGGGGGCGTCGCTTGAACTACCGGCCTTGAGAGCTGGAAGTTGACTGAGGGGAGATGAGGAGGCTGGGAAAAGGGGGTAGGCTTGGGTGTGACCATGGACGCCAACACTGAACGCTGCTTCTGGGCTTCTGCGCGCGCCAGGAGTTGGCGTCTTGCCGCCAGCGTTGCCCATTCCTTCTCGTTGGCCAAAAGGCACATAATCGCCTCGTCAAGCGTCCTGTAACGTGGCTGCATCTGTGAGAGGCGTTCGGCAACGTCCAGCGTCAGTCTGTCCTTGAACGCCTTGAGCACAAAACTGTTCTTGCGTTCGTTGACTGGAAGGTAGTTGCGGTGGGTGTGGAATTTGGTGACATACTGTGAGATTGTCTTCCCGCCCATCCTGATGTCAGCTAATGCCTTGCGCGCGTTGGCTGCTCAATTGCGCAAGCAGTACTGGGAGCGCAAGGTTGCAATCCATGCTGCAAAGCTGGCGCGCACTGGGTCCGTTGAATTGTCTCGGGTAATTGTTGCCAACCACTGGTATGTGTAAGACCCGGGGATGATCTGCAAGGCAGCACACCAAGTAGTCTAGTAACAAGATGAATAATGAGCATGGTGAGGCCGTGAGTATGCGTACCTAGTAACAAAGTGGATAAAACTAAAGAGCAACATCACGTGATGGTTGGCAACACGTAAGCCACCATCAATGCGCGCCACTCTTCAGCCATCCACTGCCGCTACATTTACTCTACAAGGCTAAGTACGCTATGTATCGTAACAGTTATGACTCACTGGGTTCCTCCTTGGTTTCTCCTTCCACTCACCAAGGAGTTGTTATGACTCACATCTTTTCTCCTTCATTTCTCCTTCATTTCTCCTTCATTTCTCCTTGTGACTCAGCATGACTCATTAGTTAGTTACTGTTGTGTATATAAGGCTGAGGAAATCTACTCAATTTCTCAGACAGAATATCATCTTTGCTACCACATCTAGCCACTGCATCGATCCACATTCTACTCTTTCACTCTCTCTCTCTCTCTCTCTCCTCTCCCTCCTCTCTCTCTCTCTCCTCTCCCTTCTCTCTCTCTCTCTCCTCTCCCTCCTCTCTCTCTCTCTCCTCTCCCTCCTCTCTCTCTCTCTCCTCTCCCTCCTCTCTCTCTCTCTCCATCAAGTGGACTCAGCAAATACAAGTCCACGGTTATTAGGAGCAGTGTCAGGCTAAGGACAAGACCTGTTTGCCAATGGACTTATCACCCAGTCTTGCTAGTTGTGGGCATGGGCATAACACCGCCGGTACTTGAGCACATCTACGCAAGATGTTATCTTGCCATTGATGGCTTGGTACTGTACAGTAGATCACCCATTAGCTGTACGCTGCTCAACGCATAGTAGGGACGCGCACGCGCCATACATGCCTTTCCCATCTTGACCTCTTGGTCTTTGGGACAGGTGTGCACCGCAATGCCTAGTTATCTTTTGTGTACTCAATCTAACTTGGTCTTTGGGACAGTTTGTGTGCAGTTGGATTTAGTCTTGCGCTTGATCTCCAGATCACTCTCCATCCCCCTTTCAGATCTGTAGAGCTCTAGCTCCAGGTCAACCTAGTCCCCCTCATTTGTTGCTGGCTGCCACAGTGACTGGGTGGGCAAATGTGAAGAAAGAACTCTTGTCAACATTGAGAGTGTCCAGACAAGCAAACTTCTTTGCCACCGCAGAGATACACCCTTGCTCCTTCTTGACCGCAACCAGGTCCGCTGATGCTGCCTCTTCATGATGTCAATGCTCCTTGAGTCCGTACACTTGACAGAAGGGGGCAATCCAGCTGCCACCCTCAACCTCAAGCCGCTGCTCTGTGGAGATATCCATGCACTTCTTGAAGCAGGTACACTTTGCCCTGAGCATTGTGCCTGACATTGTCTCCTGCCAATTATCCTCCATATGCCTGACCCATACAGCCAAAGCCCGTTCCACCTGCAAGCATAAAAGTTAGACAGTGATTTGCTCTTTGAAAAACATGAAGTCAAGTACCTGAGGACATGTTACAACATGTATCTTCTTCATTAATGTGACTCCCGGAGCAGCTGCAATCTGTTCATTGATCTATGATTGTTGTTCCAGCTTTTGAGAGAGTGTCAGCTGGGTGAATCTCAAAGTACCATTGGCAAGAGTTCTAAAGTGTTTAACAACATCCACCTGTGTCATGCAAGAGTGATCATCCACCTAGCGTAAGACAGTCTGCCAGCCTGAGAATGTCAAGTTCTTTTGTTGACCAGAGTCTGCCTTTACAGCAGAAGTCCAAGGATGAGCTGCTTTGCCAGGTTTTGGACCAGGCCTGGATTCTCTGGCATAAGGGCTGGGTTTGTTACAAGGTTGGCGAATTTACTTGGCGATGGGCATCAGAGCTGTTATTATGGATTCCTAGGTCATGGCCATCCGTGTCTTGAAGCGCAGAGCAGACAATGCACTCGGGAAGCACAATGACAGCTTTAAGACTTCATTATTGCTTGATTATGGTCCAAGATAAGAGCTCTCTGAGCGTTTCATTCTGCATAATGACGGCCCAGACTGTATACAGTATGCAATACACAATAACTAAGGATTTCCGCGCATACCTACCCGCGTTTGTCCAAAATCCGATTCACACTGAGATTTATGGCAGAATAGCCTCATGCACTACGAGAAATTGCACTGTACTCTCATACACCAGAATCTTGTCAACGTCTCAAATCCGGTGTTTTCATAATAGATACCACGTCTTCCACAGCCAGCAACAGCAATGACTGTCATGCTCAACATCTCGGTCCCGATGATGGCGGGACCGAGCCTTACACCAGCTAGGGGAGGTTTGGTAATCATCGCGGAGACATGCTTTCAGTTGGAAAGGATACGCCTCTGCCGTGCATTGATGTATAAC